TATAAACTAGCTCTTGTTCATTTGGTGATCAGTATTTCTTTTAAACACACATGGCAAGTTTTATAAACTAGCTCTTGTTCATTTGGTGATCAGTATTTCTTCTAAACACACATGGCAAGTTTTACAAATTACCTCTTGTTCATTTGGTGATCAGTATTTCTTCTAAACACACATGGCAAGTTTTATAAACTAGCTATTGTTCATTTGGTGATCAGTATTTCTTTTAAACACACATGGCAAGTTTTATAAACTAGCTCTTGTTCATTTGGTGATCAGTATTTCTTCTAAACACACATGGCAAGTTTTATAAACTAGCTATTATTCATTTGGTGATCAGTATTTCTTCTAAACAACATTTTCGTCCCGAATTGGGGAACGAAGATGAATAACACAGCCCTCCAATGCGCTATGAAAACTCCGTTAGTTGAGTGTATCCCTAGTAATTAAAGTGCCAGAATGTGAACCCGAAGATTTATGGTTTGCGTCCTATTGTCGCAAAAGCACGTTCGCAAATTACGGTTGTGTTTATGTTATCAGAGTGAATGTCACATCCCACTTTTCGATTAAAGTTGCTCAAAAGTTGATGATGGATGCTTTTGACTTGCTGCATTTGTACTAGTCCATTAGTTCAAAATTAGGTACAACTAGAGAAGATAGCCCTTGTTTAGATATGCACCATTGTCTAAAATAAACAGTTAAGCCTCCCATTCGCGCCAAAAACTAACTCATTAACTTCACATGGCCTCTTAGGTAATATTTCTGAGATAAGTAGAACAATAAACTACAGAGAATTACAGTTGATGTGGGAAATGTTTTTATATTTTAAATATAACTGTGGCGTTTTAAGATTCGCTGATTTACCTTGAAATAATTAGGTAGGAGCAATAGAATAACTGGAGATTCGCTAGAAAATGTTTTATGCAGCAAAAACTTAGCCTTGACTGAGTTTGAGGCAAAGAAAGAGACACAATATATAATGCACTGAAACATTCTTTGCCTCAAACACTCACGAATACAATTGGAGTTTAATGAGAAAATGTATTTAACACATTTTCTAGTGAGGTATCTGTGTATTAATTCGTGTATATCTCAAATTAGCTTCTTCTCAATTTCTCGTCGTGTTGCAGACTGACAAAATGTGACGTTTTATAGGAAGAAAAACTACATTAACTGAGGAGGTAGAAAATCTATGGTAAGCTTTCACACCACAGAACTATAAAACCACTAAATATACAAGGTTTTCGACATAATAACGAATTAAAACCTCTGTCAAAACGTCAGAAAAATTGGATACCATATTAAAAAAGGAAGAGAGAAGAGACGTATATTCCGTGTCATGATAATAACGTGTTCGAAATTACAGGTATAAATATCACAGGCTACCGACGTCTACATTTGAGGTTAAGAAACTTAGAACAGACAAATAACTTTGTACCAGCTCTCTCTCCCTCTCTCTCTATATATATATATAAAATAAGGCCGCACAAGTTAAACAATTGTACTTGTGAATGGTTAAAACACATCTATATTTGTGTGTGTGTGTAATAGCGAAAAGATTTTCATATTGTCGCAGAGATACAAGAATAAATGTAACTTGTTCATTTACAGAGCCTTAAATAAAAACAACACTGAAATAAGCTGTTGTAAGCCTTTTATGATTTAATGTTTTTACAGGCTACACTTCAACGGGAGCGCTCATAGCAGGTAATTGTCACAAACAAATATTGAAAAAAAAAGTTGTATCGTGACAAAATAAGTGCCCTCCACCGCTTTAGTAGCTAGCAGTTGCTGTAAATGCTTTGTGGTTTGAGTGTATACAACAAAACATTCCTCAGGTGATGGCTATCAGCAGTTGATAATATACCAGTTATATATATGTGTGTGTGTGTATATGTATAACAAAATACTTAAATTGTGCAGCTTCACCCCCCCCCCCCCCAGTTATAACGTATAACGCTACATATCGGGCTTTATTATCTGTGGTGGGCAGAGCACAGATAGCCCATTGTGTAGCTTTGTGCTTAACTTCAAACAACATCGTTTTTCCTAAAGATGTTTAAGAAAGTATGAAATTATTAGCTTTTTATTGATTCTATGTTTGCCACAATTTTGAGAGAAAAGAAAAACATGCGTGTAGTTTACATACATATGCACCATTGTGAATGCCAAAACCACACCTGAACATACTACATATTCATATGATTTAAATTATTGTTACAATTTTTACACATATAGATTTTTTATTTTTTTTTGCCACTAAAACCCATGTCTGTTGTTGTTTATTAGATATTTGTTAATAACATATTCCCCTGTACGAATTTTGATAATGACAGAAATGGAATGTGATTTGCCTGCGTTACTTTAATCCTGTCGGAGCTCACCCTTCAGGCCTGGTAGGTGAAGACCCCACACGAGCCTTTACTAACCTCATGCCAATTATTGGAGAAGTGGCCACAGGGCGGCGGGCGGAGTTGGTCATCTTTGGTGGAGATTACGATTCTGTCGACGGAACAGGTAATCCAGTACAACTGATACAGAATTCCAAATCAACATGATATTAATATTAAATATTCCCAAAATTTCAATAACTAAGTCTGTAGATTAAATTGTACTTCTCCAAAGCGTAAAAACGTCAATGTAATATTAGCAATAAATTTGCATGCTGCTTTTCTTCAAATTCAGGTTCTAAGCATACTATTAGGCGGAAGTGTATTAAAAAAAAAAAGAAGAGTAAACGTGACCCTTTCAGTATTTTGCATATTGAAAGACCTATTTTTCCATAAACCTTTCTGATAAGACTGAGCAGATTGTAAGGAGCCCAGTCAGTTTTAAGTTGCAAGCCAGAATTCATATCAGTAAAAGCGAAACGTTTATGATAATTTCGATGTTTGTGTTCTTTTATACCAAAACCTTGCCCCCCAGTGGCACAGCCGTATGTCTGCGGACTTACAACGCTAGAATCCGGGTTTTGATACCCGTGGTGGGCAGAGCACAGATAGCCCATTGTGTAGCTTTGTGCTTAATTACAAACAAACAAACCAAAACGTTTTAAATACATTTTAACTTTCAACTGAAGAAAACTGAATATGACATAATGAGTTAGTAAATAAGTTGATAATAAGCATATGTTTATAAACTGAGAGTAATATTTGCAATTAAATGAGATGAGAAGAGGCATGCGGAGCTCGCATAGCATGAGATGAGAATACCTTACGACTGCGACACGAAGAAAGTACCCATAACGAACACATGGTAAAAGAAAATAAATATATTATACGGTGTTATCGTTACATTTTTAATTTTCTGATTAGTCACGCAGCGCATGACTTGCATGCCCTGACTACACGTCACTGAACCCATATATATCTAATATATAAAGCTAAGTTTGTGTCGTTTGTTCGCACCTTTCAGCCATCTGTTCCTTATACGTTTCCACATTTCTTGATCAATCAGCACCAATCTTGACACAGTGATATAGGATGACATGAGGAAGGTCATGAAGGTGTGGGGGTGGAGTCCCCATCTTCTATATAAGTAAACGTCATTTTGTGTATGTATCTGTTCCTTATACGTTTCCACATTTCTTGATCAAATAGCACCCAATTTGACACAGTGATACAGGATGACACGAGAAAGGTCATTTCATATTGATATATTTCTTGAAAACAGTATGTCTTTCTTTTCAGTATTTCCTATCCTTTGTTACAAACGAGTTTTTACTTCACCCGTCCAACGAACGGGTAATCAAGCTAGTAGTATTATATAGTTTCATGGTCGCATGGTGGTTACACAATTACTCAAATTTCCAAGCCTGTTTCGTAGGGTTAGTGGAGTCCAGTGAAACTGGATCTTAGTTACTACTGGATTACTTTAGAGGTCAATGCTTGGGCCTTTGCGTTTTCTTCTTTATATTTGTGATATTTATGCAGGCATAACTAGTACATTCATAAAGTTTGCTGATGACAGTAATATCTTGAATATTTCTATCTATAAGAAGGATTCTGTAGTAATAAAGAATTACTTGGATCAATTGGTAAGTTGGACAAATATTTGACGTTTAACCTTTAATGATAATAAGTGCAATGTAATACACGTGGATTATCATAATTTGAATCACATGTTTAATATAAATGGAAGCCCACTCAGTTGCTTGACCAAAGGAAAAACGATCTTAGCATAGTAGTGGCTGAGTCACATAATCCATGAAATCAATTATCTAATGCGAATAGTAAAGCTAATAGGTTGTAAGGTGTTTTTATAGATATATTTATTACAAGTAAATCACTAGTTTGTTTACACTTGGAATATTGTGTATATTTTTGGTCTCCTTATCTAAGAAATTATATATATTTAGGACTTAAAACTAATTTTTAGGAGGGATGGAGCAGTGACAAATTTTTGCCAGTTATTATAGAAGTTAATGGCAAAATAGAAAAGAAAATCGCCATTTCAGGATTTCTTCTGGCTTTTCATATCTTTTGACCACCACTTTCGTCAAAGGAAATTTTTTCTCCACTTCCAATTTATTTGAGGTAAACATTTTAAAGTAAATTTTATATGCCGATAAATTTCAACATTCAAGTAAGAATAATAATTCTGACCGTATTTCAACAATTTTAACTCACACATATTTTATAATTGATATTTTTTATTTCGTAACATCTAATTTTCATTTTTAAAAAGCTTAAAGGAATCTCGCCTGTAAACAGCACACTTGTATACTTTTTTTTAGAATTTTTCTACTCATCTCAAAGAATAGCTGGGAATTTGATAAGAAACTATCATCCCTTTAGCATATATCATTTATTGATTGATTTTCATTTCCTTTGTCTTTTTCTGCTTAGTTTTTGTACGTCCCTTGCTTGTCATCTTTTTATAATGTCACATCAAAAATCTTGATCATTTAGAAATGAAACATATCTTTGGAAACAGCTGTACAGAAAGTTTAAATATGATTGGATAAAGTAAGAATTAGGCTTTTCACGTTATAGTACAGTAAATAAAGTGGTTTGAGGCATTGAGCAGTTGGTTTTGCTTTCATGGGAAAGTTGCTAATACTTGTATACATAAGAGTCGTGACCACTGTAACAATATATCGTTAATGGAAATGATATGGGTAGTTGCGCTTTTGCTATATTTCAACAGGCCTTTTTTGTAATCATAGATAATTTCACGTTTGGAGTATAAGAGTATTGTTATTGCTATATTTATTTTTTTTAAAAAATAAAGAAAACAGATAAATTGCATTCATTATGTCATTAAGTTTACTAAAAAGTATCAAAGAATAAACAGAAAATATTTCATCTATTGAAAATAAAAAGCTTATTACTTTCATCGGTTTTGTTGCCCAGTCTTGACAACAAACCTCCCATGCACTGAGGCACTGATCCGGAAATTGGAACACTGGATGTTATCACTGATCTAGTTGAAGTTTGGGGCAGTGGGTTCACTGGAGAAATAGGGAATAAGTTGCGTGATGCCCCCTACAAATACAGACAAAAATAAACAAAAAACATTTATATCATTGGCCCGCCATTTGTCTGCACTAATTTCTTAGGGTATCGAATATCTTTTTGCAATGTTTATTTCTACTTTTCATAATTTATGTGTAAACCTAAAATTTAAGAAAATTCAACAATTTGTCAAGCATTTGAAAATTTTTTGACATATGGCCACCTCTAATTAATGTTATTATTTGATAATTAACGCCAAAACTTAAAATTTGTAAACTCATATACCTAATTCATTTTTATTCTCATATTTAACTCTATATTTAATCATATTGTCTAATTTATAGATGGCAGTATGACTGGTAATAAGCTTCCAATGAGAGCGTCTTCTCGCAAACTACAAGTGAGAATTATTTTAAATAATTTTCATTAAAGTTTTCAAAACTTATTTTTCAAAGTAATAATCACAATATTTTAGGCTTACCTAAAGCTCACTCAATTTGATGAAGTTTTATAATTATTCACAAAATATTAAATTTGGCTACTTAAATTATAATCTGACATGCACTTCATTATTATTTATTTTTTTCGGCTGTTGACTGCACATTTAATGATACTTGGATAAATAGAGTTCATCGAGTTTATTTATTCACCCATAAAGAGTTTAATATTTTATCAGTTAGGCCTATCACAACTGGTTGGTTTATAATGTAGATAAACAAAGGTATTAAAAAGGATAAGAGTAATACTGTTATTATCGTTTGAGCACAAAGTGACACAGTAGGCTATCAACATTATATCTGCACCAGAGATTGAACATTAAGGTTTTAAAATAACGTTAATTACACTCTCTTAAGTTCATTTTAGGCAAATCGGGCATTTAATTATTCGTCATGCTATCTGAAATGCAGATGATTGGTCATTCATCCTATGCTACTAAACAAGCATTTGGTAGAGGTGGCTTTCCATCTTTACGGTTTATATACGAAGTTTCCCTTCAATATTAAGTATGGTCACTAACAATTAACCATAACAACTTGGTGCAGATGTTGCTTGCCGAAAATCAGCAGATCGTTGATAAGAGGATCTTTAGTGTCTGGAGTCACTAGTCATGATGTGACTTGTCTCTCAAAAATATCTTATACAGGTTCGATAGGAGTGAAGTCCAGTGAGGTGCAGACCACTCTATTTTGCCAATCTCCTCTTCTTTAAGGAGTGTGTCAATTTGTTTAGCATGGTGGGGGCAAGCATTATCGTCCATTACGCCGAAGTCTGGGACAATTTTAAAAATATATTGTAGCACAAAAAGTTATAGAATATGACCCATATAACGTATGGTGTTAATGGCATCATTATGCAGGGATGTAAAGGTTCGTATGCCCATAAATACTTATTTATGCCTACGTCGTATTTCCACCACTGCAAGCTGCTTCACGTTCCCATATGAAGTTGGTTAGGATATTGTTCCGGTTTCTCTCCAAATGAGTATACTTTTGTTAACTGTCTGTAAGGTAAAGTGTAGCATTTATCTATAAAGAATATTGTTCTACGTTTTCTTGGCACTATTGCAGACACGCTGTTTTGTGCCTTGCTGTAGGAGTGCAATGCATTTCACTGAATGTGTGTTGTATAAGCCGAACGTATGGAGTCTGTTACTAATCATTTAACTAGCATGGAGTCCAGTTGCGGCTGTGAAAATCTGATCTAGTCCCTGAGTAAGTACCTTACAATTGCAATGAGTTAGAGTCAACAGATAGCATAGTGTTTTGAGTTATGGTCGGTATTATCTAGGTGTCCAAGCAGTTCCACATTCTGATAATGACACTTTGAGACATTATATTCAACTTGTAGCAATCTATTGAGAATAGACAACCATCACTTATCGAAGGCTCTCCACATGAACAAAACATTCACACGTTATTTTTTTGACGTCTAGTTATAGTTTACAAATAATATAAAGTACTTTGAACTCTATGCTTCAATTTAAAGTGACAACCGGGATAAGATTGTGTGCAACCACTACATATATCAGATCTTATGACTGATCAAATGGCTGACTTGCATAACGATGAACTGAGGGAATGTCTCACATCATGTTATAAGTGTGGATATGCCTTGTCATAGCTATAATATTCAAAATTATGAACATTCTTCAATTGTTGTGTGCATTGTATTTCCACTTACTTGGAATTTGGAAATGATATATTTTAAACCTCTTACTTTACCCTATACTTATTAAGTGATTATTTTTAAAATATTTTTTATTTATTACAACTATAAATAAAGATAAAACTCAACAGGGTTTTTATTGTACTCACAAGACCCGCATAAAATACTCTATCACATGAGGTTAACAATGAATGGCTATACCATGGTACAATTTTCCTGTTATTAGGTGTCTATCCTTTGAATTTGTACTTTCACCTGAGAATGTAATCCATATTTACCTGCTTATTTAAGTTTGTGGGCAATGTCGGTTGATCATTGGTGTTCTCACCAATTGCGTGTCCACCTACTGATGTATACACCGAGACAGCATTATTCACTTCACCTGATCGTTGTAACATAGATGGGTACAGCTTTTCTGACTTGGTCGATCTAATCGAGCTGGAACGAGTCAGATGTGGCGAATCAGAAAGCTCCCTTTGATGAAGTGTGAGGCGAGCATGAGTAAGGCTGGTAGCACGGACATTTTGAACCTAAAAGCGAAAGCTAGATATCATTACAAAATAAACATAAGCATCAAGTAAACGAAGTATAAAAATATGCAATATTATAAGTGTGCAGAATAAGCATAAGATCTTGTATTTTTTAAAACGGCCGTTTTGCTTAACTAAGAAGTTAAAATTAATTCAAAAGTATTATTATACTAGATGTACTTCCGCAAGGTCCCCGAAAGTGTTATGTTTCAAGACTGACGTCACGACAGTACAAATTGCAGCGTTAAGCGTTCCTTATTTGACACCATTTTAGTGTCTACTGACTAACTGACACATAACACACTACTGTATAGTGGTGCAAGTGGTTAAAAAAGGCGACTCTATCAGGCGGCCTTCGGCCTCCCTTCGGGAAAATAAGGGAAAAAGTATACAGAATTGTGAAAATAGCAAATGTTTGATAATAAATTTACAAATTGATTAATATTATTCAATGTAATCAAGCAGAACTACAGTAAAAAAAATCAAAAAAATCGGCATATCTAATTTCTCAACTTTTGAAAAAAAACAAAAACTGTGGACAAACTACATAATATATTACCTGAGCATGCACACTGGATGATATTGATGATAAAGATTCCATACTCTCGGCCTCAGTAAGGCCACTTCCACTAAAACTGCGAGCTCCTGATCCAGAGATGAATGAGGCACTGGAACTGCCGCTGTAACATAACCAGGCATAGGATTTAGAAGATGGAACATAGTTATTTATATACATAAGGGGATCTGTGTTAGCACAGTTCACTATGTCTGTGCTATTTGGCCTTACAGGGACGGAGAGACGGGACCTATTAACTGAGCGCTCCTTACTGATTGGAGGAAAATCAGAAAGAATTACATAGTTTGATTTGGGATTAGACGACCTACTAAAGACAGAACGCGTTCCATAGCTGCATTTGTGAAATCCTTTAATACCTGTGGGAGTCAATGGATTTTGTTTCGATGTTTTGCGGCCTAAAGAACTGTATTCACTGTCGGAATGGGCTGTAGTTTCATCAAAAACATAGTTTTCGTCCATGTTAGTCTGAGTGTTGGCAACCAGCTTGATACTTTCTTTCCGTTTATAACTGTTTCTACCACCACAAGAAGATGCCATGGTCACATTCCTAGACAAGTTCGATGACTGGATATAGTTAATATCAGAAAAGTTTAAGTTGCAATCATCATTGCTCATTGTGTCAAGTGACATATCCTTACTGGAACTACTTTTTGATTTAGAGTTGCATATTCTGTTGTTGTCATAGGCAAAATCCGTACTGGTTAACGTTTCCTCGTTGTTCGTTTCGCTTCCAGTTACTACTATTGTTCGTGACCCTTGAGGTTCTTGGCTTTCAACTGATGGCTTAATCGGCTGATTAATCAAATTAGAGTTAAATTTGGTTGATTTGGGATTTGAGCTTCTTTCATTTCCTTTCTCAACCTCGACGTCTCCATCGGGGCATTTTTGATGTTCTGGTATCTGCATTTGTCTTTTGTACTTATCTTTATGACTTCCATTTAACTTGTCAAAAGCTCCACATGCAACTTCATTATTCTTCCCGGTTTCAGATGCCGAAGAAGTAGAAATAGTGTTCTTCTCTTTCATCTGTCCTGATTCAAATCCACTATTCCTCTGATGCTGGAGGTAGTTCTTCCACACAGCTGATGACATTTGGTGAAAAGCTTTACATTCCGTCTGCATCGAGCTGTCCGTTTTTTTGATGTTTGTAGAACGGCCAGCAGCGGGTTTTCCCGTACTTGGCACTCCGAGAACATGTTCATCATAATGTCGCTTATTCTCGCCCCAAGCAGCGAGAGGATTCTTAGTTTCTATATCTCGTGGCATTCGCTTGGAACTACCATTATGATTGGCTTCAGTACTGATTGATAATTCTGTCATGTTGTCATCAGAGTTGACGTCAACGATATTGTCGCTAAGTTTACTGTTGATAGAACTGTCGTCATCAAAACTGTAAAAAGAGTCTACAATAAAATATTGCTATATACAGACCAAAAACAAGTAAAATAGACAATGTTAGACATCTTTTATTTAATTAAAGGTACAAAAATATCGGCTAGCTTATAATAAAAAATGAACCACAAAAACGTGCTTTAAGGGCTTAATTATACAACAACGCGTTTAGCTAATTGTAAGTCAAATTTAAGCACACTTGTTTCTAACTAGCAAGGCCACAATACTTTTTTGAAGGGCACTTTGCAAGATGAAACTAGGCTAAAGGCCTAATATATTTGTATATTTCTTGTCAATAATTTTGAATTCTGAGAGTTGGTTTGGTTTGTTTTGAATTTCACGCAAAACTACACGAGGACTATCTGCACTAGCCGTCCCTAATTTATCAGTGTAAGACTAGAGAGAAGGCAGCCAGTCATCATCACCCACTGCCAACTCTTGGACTACTCTTTTACCAATGAATAGTGGGATTGACCGTCACATTGTAACGCCCCCACGGCTGAAAGGGCGAGCATGGTTGTTGTGACGGGGATTTCAACCCGCGACCCACAGATTGCGGGTCGAGCGACCTAACCATCTGGCCATGCCGGGTTAGTTTTAAGAAAACTGACATTTGTCAAGATTTTAGTATGACCGGTATAATTTACGTTGTTTACTACCTTGGGTTAAGAGTGTTTACAACAGTAAGAAGTAATTGTCTGAAAGTGTTAACCAGACACAACACTTTTTTGTTGTGTGTTATTAAGCACAAAGCTACACATAGGGCTATCTGTGCTCTGCCCACCGGGTGTATCGAAACCCGGTTTCTAGTGGTGTAAGTCCGCAGACATGCCGCTGTGCCAGTGTGGGGCGGTACAACACGGCTTTAACGATTAGTAATGGATTTTCCCATACAAGCTCTTGTCTAGCGTCTAAAATATTAAGCCCATACTGTATTGGAAGATGAGCTCGGTGTTTATAGATTTTATTCAAAATTTTGATGTGTTAACAACACTGGTATCTATGTTGTAAAACTTTCGGTAAATGTGTCCAGATTTTGATTTTCATTTCAGTTTATTTCTAAATTAGCAATAACTCTAAAACAAATCAAGTCATATCTTAATTGAAACATATCACTCACAGACTAATAAAAAAACGCAAACTAATTTCCAACTATCATTTAGGTGGTTAGGGCGCTTGACTCGCAATCTGTGGGTCGCGGGTTCGAATCCCCTCACACCAAACATGCTCGCCCTTTCAGCCGTGGGGTCGTTATAATGTGACGGTCAATTCTACTATTCGTTGGTAAAAGAGTAGCCCAAGCGTTGACGGTGGGTGGTGATGACTAGCTGCCTTCCCTCTAGTCTTACACTGCTAAATTAGGCACGGCTAGCGCAGATAGCCCTCGTGTAGCTTTGCCCGAAATTCATAACAAACAAACAACTACCATCTACTTTACATATGTGACAATCAACAGAAAAATGTAGCTTTAACTTTTCATTTTTATTATTACTATTAGTTATAGTTATTGTTGTGTTAAAAATCCGTATATTATTAATACAGGTGTTCTTATCTGTTGTTAAAATTGGCAGAGATCATTAGTACTAGTACAGTAATTGTATTGCAAAGATCAAAACAACGGTGGTGTGTAGTGCGGCCAAGACAACCCGCACAACAAACTGTGTATTAACAGGGGTAATAGTTTAGCAATTTTCCACTTTCTGTAGCTAAGACTGTGGTAATTAAAGCTATCCCATATTTTCCCAGAAGTGCTCTGGTGGACCCTTATTTCACATACCAAATTCCAAGGCGTTCCATTAAGAAAAACACGAGATATAAAACGTTTAGTTGAATTTCTTCCTACTTTTTTCTTCGCAACGATCACATCAAAAAGTTATTTGATAATAAAAATATTTAATTTTGATGGACATTTTTCAAGTTTGCTACACTGATAGATTTTTATAACCTACAATTAGATGTCATATTTGGTCTGAATATAAGCCACATGTGCAAAGTTATTCAACAAAAACAGCTCACTTTTGACTCAAATGTTTGAGCACGCCCACACAAAAAGTCACGTGAGCTATCGACCTGAAATTTTTACCACAATTTCATCTAAGATTAGAAGTAGATCATTTTTCATTTCTTGCCATTTGAATTAAAGACAGATGTTTTAGAGAGAAAAAACTACCATCATATACTTTAATTAAAGAATCTGGTTGGTTCTGTAAAGTATAGGTCTGCTGCGAATAATAGGGTTGCGATCCTAAAGCTAATGTTACTTACGAGTGTCACTTTCTTACTTGTAGTGGTTTGTCGGTGTGTATTGACAAAACGTCATGATATCTTATTGAAAAAGTCGTGATATCTAATCAAAAACACCTTAGGTGTTAAAAAAGGGTGTGGCCAATAAAGGATTGAGCGTGCGACTTAAGGTGTGTTTGTTTGTTTGAAGTTAAGCACAAAGTTACACAATGGGCTACCTTTGCTCTGCCCACATTATTTTGTTTTACTCACCGTCATGCCCCAAAACAAAAAACGCGCCTTAGCTAACTAATGATTATTTACTATAAAATTCTTATCAATGTTACAAGTGTAGTTACCAGTTTGGCCGCCAATTTCGGTTTTCTTCCTATAAGTTGCACACTCAACCCGTTTATGACTGCACCCTTTTTTCACACCTAAAGTGTTTTTGATTAGATACAAAGACTACACGTACTGGTATAGTTATCATAATGTTAACGATCCAGAAATTACTAATACCTTTATAGTTGTTATCCTTCTAAAATTACAAGAGATTATGAGAACTATTACAGTTCTAAAATTGTTAACAATCCAGAGTTTACTAGTACAAGTATATTTATTATAATTTATATTACTAAAGATACAAGAGATTATTACAATTAGTATAGTTGTGAAATCGCTAAAGATACAGAAATTACTAATACTACTATTAGTATAGTTGTTTATAAAGATACAGAGATTATTATAATTAATATAGTTATTGTATTGCTAAAGCTAAAGAGATTTTTTGTTGGTAGTATATTTATTGTATACATAATGATAAAGTGGTTATTATTACCAGTATAGTTGTTATATTGCTAAAATACCATAGATTAGTAGTACTAGTATGGTTATTGTATTGCTAAAGGTCCATATGTTATTGGTACAGGTATAGTATTGTTACGACAGCAGAGATCGCGTGACGCTGGGAGCATGCGCGCTGGAGTTTCTAGAAGGATCATGAATTATCGGGGAGGCCCGAGTTTGTTCGAGACGCCCTCTTTTTTAGTATATAAGCCTGGCGAGAAAAACCAGCGCAATTGCATAGATAGATAAATATAGAGATAGATAATTAGTCAAGTCAAGCGAACAGTAGGCACCGTAAGTAAAGTGTGTGAATCACTGTGATTTATAGCGTGTGTTATAGAGGCTGTTAAATAAAGTGACGAGAAACGTATTGATTGTGAAAATAATGTGTATTACAAAGTTGCATCGAGAAAGAATAAACTAGTTTTAATCATTAAAGAACTTGTATCGCTGAAGTTCCTCGGAAAGAATTTATACCGGAAATTAACAAACAAGCAGATACGTAACAGTATGCTATGAGCTACGTCATCCTATTTACTATTTAAGATGAGAAGACTAACACAGTGATCTACTAATACTCTTCTTTATCGTATATTATAATATGATTATTTACATAAGAGTCAAAATCAACAGTTACATGTATAAACTATTTATTTCATGATGCATGTAAGTCAATTATTTGTCGTATATCAACTTTTATAAAACAATTACTTACTGAAAATAATGTATTTTCAAAATCTAATGGGAGAAAAAGGTTTAAAAGTACAAAACATATAACATATATAATTCAAGTGAACTCTTGAAATATGAAACTTTTAACTCATTGAATTGGCATTTTCCATATCTTAATGTACACATAAATCAAGTCCAAGTGTGTATTTCATTAGTATGGTGCAAATTTGCCATGAATTACAGTTTTCAATATGACTGATACAGGTGTGTTGATGAACAAATATCTTATTTTTTTATTATTTATAGACAAAACTGATAGTGGCAGTGGAATGTTTTTATGTTGAATTTTACAAATATAAGAGAGTGGAAGATTTGGGTCAGTAGGATAATGTTGAATTTAGTCTGTTCCATAGTATTTACCAAACAAAAACAAGCAGAAATTAAGATCGAACAAATTCTCCTGCATTTTAATACCATACCCTAAAAAGTGAAAATAGGGTTGGTAAAAGTTCAAAAATTAGTCCTTTTTTAGAATTTATATGATAAATTATAAAATCTTCTTCTAAATTTGTCTCAAGGTAGGTAAGGTGTTATAGGCAAGAAAATAAGCTACAGAGTGAAAAAAACAAAACCAGATCTCTACAGACAGATCAGACTTATTGGGAAAGAAGGCTGAAAAGACAAAGAATGGCTTAACAAAGTCCTCCTTTCCATAGAGCTACTATTTCAAAACAGGTTTAGGGATAAACAAACTGAGAGTAACATTGCCAAAAATGCATCCCACTGTACAGATTTTTTATCTTCGAAAAAATTTGAAGGATACACATACGAAATTTACACAGTCAAAACCACATTTCTATGATCACCTATTATAAGGAGTGAAGGTCAGGGATATATAGTAGTTTAAAGATACATGTGCCCAGTGATGTAACTGAAAATGCATTTCTAAATACATACCTAAAACTTAGAGATAAGACACAGGGATACATATATATACAGTAGGGCCAAAACTAACATATTTATTAATTAAATAACTAAGACTTTATAATACAAGGATTATTTAAACATGATAAATGATCCAGCTTTCTTTTTTTAAATAAAATTCCAAATCTCCCAATCACACAGAAACTGTACTCAGAATAAGAACTTATACTCACAGCCCCACTGATAAATTTGTTCTACCCCTAAAACCTTCTCAACTTGATAGATACATAAAACCATAAATATACACAAGAACTTGTTTTCTTCAGCAATAAC